TGGCTTCTCGTTCAGATGATTCTGTATCAGGTCCGAAGGCACATTTGAGGGCCGCTCAAAGTATTCTCGGTATCGGGGTAATTAAGCAGTGACGAAGGGTCTAGATCCTTTCACCAAGGATAACTAGTATAGCATTGACGATAACTAGATGAGATTTTGGGTTTATACCGCTAGGGAGTGTCGTTACCTATTGAAAGGATCTAGACCCTTCGTCACTGCTTAATTACCCCGATACCGAGAATACTTTGAGCGGCCCTCAAATGTGCCTTCGGACCTGATACAGAATCATCTGAGAGAAGCCAGGAGAACTGCTTTGCGCAGCGAAAGTAGCTCTGCAAATGGCGTCACGTGCGCCCAGGACCTACTTGACAGGACGAGAACGTATTACAGTGAGTCTTGTCAACTGTATAACTTAAGTGACCGCACACTCTTAGCTAGTTTTTAAGGGTAGCTTGTACTCGGACGCCGTGACTCACCATTCAAGTAGCTAAAGAAGAAAAAAAAGAAGCAACTGTTTGCAGGCCTGTAGTCACAGAAGTCTCACCTCAGCAATAAGTTTAAGCGTAATTGGAAGATGCGTAATGGGTTTGACAAGTTTCAAAAGGACGACCGTTGGTTCACGAGAAGTCGTTTGATTCGCTCCTTCTTTCGTCACTGTCGAATTGGGACGCTTTCCTGTCATCACCTTGAACGGGGCATCGTACTCCTAAAACTACAGTGCTACTGAAAGTCTGACATTGTCTTTTGACCTGGACGAACCTCAAAGTAGAGCTTGGGAGGTGATTCCTCGGAATCCCAGTTTACGACCACTACTGGAGTTTCCACGGTGTCGCCAATAGTCAAAGTCTGAAATAGTCACTTGTGTCAAGAGTTGATGGGAATACTTCAAAGCTTCATCAGTACCTCGTTAAGTTCGACATTATAGGGCTCGTTGTAGAACTGGAGGCTTTCTGAGTTGTTTGGCCTCATACGAACTGTAAACAGCGGAAATGCCTCGTCGTTGCACACCACCGTCACAAACAGTTTAAGGACGCTTTCGCCCTTAGGCAACGACAAGGGCGTTCTCGTTCGGAGAGAGAAACGGCCACTTCGATCCGATTTCAGCTCGAAACTTCTCGTGAAGTTGATCTAAATGAGCTAGTAACTACGAGAACAACTGTGCAAGTATCAGGTCAGTTTTCCTGAATTATGGATTCTACCCAGGACACGTCCTTCAGCCGAATTTTTGCGGAACATGAGCCCCTCCCATACTCTCTCCTCCGGCACGTCCCTCTTTTACAACCGATCGATCTCACCAAAATATCTAAAAACTTTGCTGTTGAGCGGTAGGAGGTGGGAAGGCACCACGTCAGATTAACCTGTTTTCACATAGGAAAGAAAACAGAGAAATGGCCTCGAAAAAAATATATGCTTTATCCCCAAATGGAGTGGGGTGGCCGCGGACCCCATTAGAACACGGCGCGAGGGGCGTTTGCCGTGAGATTCCCACTTGAGGAGTCATCCGACTCGCATTTCGGACAACTGTAATCAGTTCATTATCCCCTCTTGCGCTGGATAATGACATGATTACAGCTGTCCGGAAACGGCAATATCCAACCAATGGCGCCACGTTCAAATGGAGCACGCGGCCACGCCCGCTCCATCGCTGGGAGGTCCATCAGTAGATTTGGCGATAATTTGTATCCGACTGCATCTTTTCGGTTCGAGACCGCCTGATGTCCGCGCCACAGGCGCCAGCGCCAAACTGCTCTGAAGGTTTGCTGAAGAACTTCTCTCGAGGTATTTCAGTCTTTTCACATTGATCCATGCGCCTCTCAGAAAGTCGACCCACCCACGCAACAAACTCGAATGCGTCCCCAGTGGCTGAGAAGTTTTCACGCATGGCAGGCCCTAACTTCCGCAGGCGCAGTTTGAATGGTATGAACAAAAGTCATTTTTCTGGCTCTCGAAGGTCTTTTGAATCCAATCTCTGCCCAGCCATGAAAGTACGATCTCTGACGCGGTATATTTTGTCAGGGATAAAATCCTGAACTATGACAAGAACATTCTTTGAGCATAATGCCTAGGACAATCTAAAAAGGCGTAAATGAAGAAAAACCTACCCCCAGAGGCTTTTCGGACCTTACCGACGCCAGCAGAATGTCGGCATCTTTTGGATCGACGGTCGTTTCGGTAATCGTCGTTCCGGCAGTCAGACCAGGTTTTACGTCGAAGAAAAACGGTCGAATATCCGATTCAGGAAAGAAACATGCTAAAATGGAAAATTGCTTAGTTCGACTCAGGAATCAAAGACGAGAGTTGAAGAATTAAGCGTTCATCAGTGCCTCTTCAGGATGGTCCACGCATTTCGGTATTTTCATTTAGAACCATAGGATCACTCGAAAGCGGTCTGGTATCACTAGGAAACAATCCTATCCTCCTAAGTTTGTCTTGTGTCGGTGGTGGTGTGTGTGTGGTGTGTGTGTGGTGTGTGTGTGTGTGCGGTGTGTGTGTGGTGTGTGTGGTGTGTGTGTGGTGTGTGTGGTGTGTGTGTGTGGTGTGGATGTTTGAATGTTTCGTTTGTCTATTGTTTGTATTGACCGAAATTCAATCTTCTCAAAGCTAGCGATAAAACTTCAAATTAAAAGGATGTAGGAGGTTCGACGAGGAACACTATTGGTATGGCCGCACGCGTTGATAACAGCTGATAAGAACGGGCCTAGAATGAAGAGTCTCCATACGCAGCCCTTAATGCAATATCATGCACGACTTTCTGAAACAGCCCGAGAGAGCAGAATTCGCACTGACCCCTGAAATCCGGCTTGTGAGCGCCGCCCTTCTCAATGAATTCTCCACCTCAACGCCGGATTATCCGCTATCTTGGTCTATCGCCCAAATTCTGTTACAAAGATACCTTATGTCTAACATAAGACAAGTCCATTAAAGGGTAACACCGGTGCGATATTTACCTGCGAACATTTGGCCCTACTATCGCCTCTCTGAGATTTTCACTATTTCGCATCGTTATTCGGTGATTCCTCCATTTTCTTCCCTCTCGGATTCTTCAACCCTCGACTTTCACCCTTCAACCTTAACTCACATTCCACAACTAGCTCTAATTGAATCGTGGATAACTACATTCACTGAATGCGGCTCCCTCGCTCTCTCGCTGAATACTTCTGCTCTTTCCATAAAGGAAGGGCTTACATCGTAACATCTGATGAGAGCGCGAAAGAAAAATTTCATGATTGAATGCCTGCCTAGCGCAGCGCGAACTATGAGCCTGCCTTGTGGCGCCTTGAATAATCCACAGTATTAGAAACTGTGATTCGAATTTATTGCTTTTATATCTCTGGCTGCTTTCAACTCTTACAGACCTTTCTTTATAATTTACTATGGCCATTGACGTTCTTATCATTTCTGGTAGTATTCGGTTGAAATACCGGGAATGCATGCACTACACCTCAGCGTGCTGACCCCAGACCCTCTTGCAAACCTTCGCCAAAAACTTTTAATTCTGTTGAATTCTAGACTGGGAATTGATTTTGGTACAAGACTTCCAGGGCTCCGTCAACTTTTAGTCCTTTCGGTCGCGGATTCCTCTTTAGGAAAACACGCATGCCAGGTCTTCTGATGGATTGTCTCGGAGTACTAATTAATTTTAGAAACTCTCACGCGTCTTGGCCATACCCCAGCCGCGCGTGTTATTATGGCGAAAAGGAAGTACATAAATGTGATTGAGCAGCACATAAAGCTGAAATAGTCGTATTGTGAGAAATGTCTAGGGCAGATAGGGAGGCTGCTGCTGGACAAGTATTTCCTCATGTTGTACCCTATTTTAACATAGTGTATTCATTCATATCAGGAGCGCTTTTGAACGTTCATTAAGTTTAGCGTCAGCGGCAGACCAGACGAAGCCCAAAAAGGGCGTGCTCGGGAAGCTGGCAAAAATCAGAGAGGAAGAGAGAGGCCAAGACGTTTCATATATGAGCAGGAAGTCAACACGCAGGAGTAAATTAAGCCATCGCCGTTGACGTCCTGCGAACATTGCCTATCGCGAATAATAGGAGATCGAGCTTCATCTCTCTGTATGCATTCTGCAAATTCTAATGGAAAGGGTCACAGTGTTACATTCAGATAATTTAATGACAAAGCTTTAGTAATACTTATGGGTTTTCATTTTTTTTTGGTACATTTTGTTACATGTTCAAACGAAAACATAACAGAATGTCATTGTTTTGTTCGAGAACCCACGTCCTCTGAGTTCTCATGAACTTACAGATAGTTTCCATCTCCTTTTTTTTTTTTTTCGGTTTTTTTTTTTTTTTTATGGCCACTCCCACTAAGCGCCAGGAAAAAAACGAATCAGACATTTCGCGTCCAGAAGTATGCTATCTCTTCCCACCTCCTCCCAACAACAGCCACTGCTTCATACGAACACCTCTACATCCGTAATACTAACGCGCTTCTTTCGGTTATGATCCCCCCCTTTCAGAATCTTGATAAGAACAGTGCCCCATCCAGGGCACTGCCATCGCTTACATTGTTGCAGCGAGGTCGTATTTGCCGCGAGACAAGGGGTATATTTATAGAAGAATTTTTTTATAGTATTTCCTTGTTTCACCGACTCTGGTGAAGGAGGGGGAGTCGTTAGTCGACCGTTTTTGGGAAAGGGACTGCCAAAGACCTATGCAGCTACTACTTTCCATAGTTGAAAATGATAGTCAAATCCTGACGACCCCCCTCTCCTCCCCTTCCCCCCGCTCGACAGCAACATTTTGAGGAAATTCAGAAGCTTACACAACGCGATGCGAGCCTGTCTCATCTCAAAAGCTTACCGCATTTGTCTCTTCTAGAGTCCTTTTCACCTGATGGTGAACTACCAAATGAACAAGATTTTTGTTTTTACCTACGCTTAACACTTCTGCAGTGACTTCTCAGACAAAACCATTCTATCATCCGACTGAAGCGCACTTCTCAACTCGCACTTCGCTATAAGCGAATTAGCGCCGGGATACGATGCGGAAAAAACTTGCTAGCACGGTCAAAGAAAGGGAAACAAAAGGCGGTTGCGAGAGTGAGACACTTACGTTACTTAATCAGTAGCTGTCCAATGGATAGACGGCTGATGAAGTAGTTTAAAGCAGCAGTCGTAGCACATCAACCGCCTCATCGCATCGAACCTGTAACGAACAAGCTAGTATGTCAACCATGAGCAGGAACATGTCAGTAGAGACAATTGAAAAGAACTGTAGTGGCTACTTTAACGTCTATTAGTGTCCGCTAGCAAAAACGAACCGAAAATGGCCACAACAGTAAACAGTTACGCTGCCCAAAGAGATATCGCTCCACAAGCTGCAGACTCGCTATTAGCTTCGAATCACGGCAGAAAGATTAGCTAATTGCGAACGCTAAGGCACAAACCGTAGAAAATCGCTTTGCTGCTTCAATCCATCTGAATAACTCCTGAATTGCGACGATCATGGAAGCAAAACATTATCATAGGCCTAAATTGACAAAAAGCTACGAAGCATTTCATTTTGTCGGCTCTCGACGCGCTTAACTAATCCGGCGACACACTATGTTTTCACCCGACATGCCAGCTACAAATCTCCTAATCCCTGAGCTGAAGTGGTGCATCTTTTTTCTTTTTTAACATGGCCACGAACTGGTTACCGTGAACATATACAGTCTCCGACAACGGTCATCTTGTCTGCTGGGACAGGAGACATGAAAAACAATCTGTTCAATATCAAAATATCTTCACCATAAACACAGGCGCATTCAGGTCAAGCGAAACATGCGCCACGGCCTACCCCTCTCAGGATTCGAGTATACAGAGACAACATTCTTCTTTCTTCATCTTGTCTCCTTAGGATGCTCCACCGTCTGGATCCTTCCACGTTCATATAGGCCGCAGAGAATAAAAAAATCCATCGCATTAATCGGGGCAACGTGATCACATATCCGTGTTCTTTATCTCACATTAT